TAACAGATTAAATCCAGCCCAACTATGTAGTGATCAAAAAAAGTCATTGCCAAGTCTGACGGCCTCTGGAAAAAACAAGTTCTTGATCGGAGTATAATTCAGGAGTGAAGAGCTGTCCTTGCTGCAAAAAAATCATTACCAGGGCTGCTAATTAGATACCCCTATTGGTATCCTCAGCATGAATTTATTAGGGCTGCATTCATCACACTTTCAGTACCTGCTTTGAGCAAGTTTTCAGGGCACAATACTGAAGACACCCTGTGTGCCTTGCACCCAGTGTAAATACTACATCAGAATGGTTGCATCTTGCACCCACTTAGCCCAGGTGTAAGCCTCTACACAAGGTGGGAGGGCTCAGTTCTCCACTGCTAAAGACTGCCCTCACGCTGGCGAGAATCAAGAGTAATTCCACTGAAGCCATTACGTCAGTATGAGAGGAGACCAGCCCCTACTCTCACATTTAAGAGTGGGGGCAGAATTTATATTCTAGATTAGACTGATTCTTACAGTGACTTAGTGGAGTAGCTCAGAGTGTAGTGGAATAAAGAATTTGGCTCATGAAACAGGCCAGACACTGCCTTGTGCTTTGAGCAGTCATCTACCCCCGTGCAAAATAAGCACAAGATGCTATCAGATGAGAAGGGCAGTGTTTACGCATTCACTTTGCACTAGTGAAAGCAACCACACAAGATGCAGGGCAATGATGAATTGGGCCCAACAGAACAGAATGGTGCTCTTGAGTGCACTCTGAATCTTTGTTCCTTTCATACACAGGTCTCAGACAAAGTGGTAAAGCAGTACAGTGTAGGTGTGTATTTACAGGCATTCAGTTCAAGAGGAGCCTTTCTGACTGGCAGTTGTTTGGCCTGTGCGTCAGCCATGCTTGGGAATTAACAGCTGAAGCCACTTGGATTTGACTATTTCTTTGGAAATCTCCCAAAAAGCTTTCATGTTACTGGCACAGACAGACAACAGGTGCTGCGAGAGCCACCCCACAGGAGCCGCTTGTGACTGACAGAGCAGCCTGGGGTCTTGCAGCAGGGTGTTTTTTGATGAGTCGTACAACAGGAAGCCAGAGCATGGGGAGGCACCACAGTAAGGAATGTGTGTGACTTTTAAAATAGCAAAACCACAGAGAAGAGAAGAAAATTTCTTTTTATTTGCACCCCAATTGAACGGCATTAAGGATAACAACTACCAAGGGACTTTCTTCACTTCCTGGTTGTAGCAGCAGATTGTGAAAGAAACCGAAAAGATTTAACTCTTTCAAGGCAAAAGTGACAGCGGCCACACGCTGACCTGGAGCAAGCAGGCCCAACACAACTGGATGCGGTGTACTTTTTCCATTCGCCTCTACCTTGTGTAGTCACTTACGGGAGTGCAAGCCAATCTGGTTTGGTAACATTTTACATCCACTTTGCATTGATATAAGCGACTTACACAAGGTGCAGGGCAATGGAGAATCAGGCTCAATAGCTGGCACCAGACCCACTTCGGACAGGTATTTTACTCAGTAGGCCACATCCTGCTGCATTAAACCACCTTTGTAATATTCCAACAGTGCAGAAAGCAGCCCTAAAGCCAGCTTACTCAGCCAAATAAAGATTCCCCCCCCACCCCCCATAGAGGGCTCCATAGGTGGGGTAGAACATCTGTAGCAGTGCCTATGCCACACACTGCTGCTGACCAGAGCATGAGGCATGGCTGGGGATAGAGGATGTAGCCAGGGATTCCCTAGGCCCTGTTCTAGTTTATGCCAAATGATAGGCTGATGCACAGCAGCCCCTAGATCAGAGGGCCACAAAGGAGGACTTAAAGCCAGCTTTGCATACACCACACTGCAGCTGCCCCAAAGGTTTCTTGTCAAACAATCTACACAGTTGCCCCTCATTGCTTTTTATAAAGTCTCAGATGTTCTTGGGAAAATTTTAAAGGGACACTATAGCAACAAAAACAGCTCCGATTGTGGCCTCACCACATGTTCTGATCATCTGGGTGCAATTTTATGTCTTCAAGTAATCATGCCCACAGATAACTGCAGACACAAATTCATGGAACTCAGACATCTTGCTTCCCGACTTTCCACAAACAAGATAGCCAATTGTGTCAATTCTATAAACTAAGCCTGTTAGTTGCAGGAACAATCGGTGGGTGCAAAATTGTGCCCATAAATTTAGAGTGCCTCTCAAAAATTAGGAAAATACTACTGTGCTTGTGTTATTGAAATCTTAGATTAGAATTTGGAGATTCAAAAAAAAAAAATCTAAGTTTGCTTTTCCCCTTTGTGTTGTTTATTTATTGATTAGCTTCGCTGCTTCAACAGAGTGAAGAGCACAGAAGCTGATTTAGTTTCACTTTCTGTTTTGTGTGCACTAGCCTAATGCTGCAGCTGCATTTAGGTCCCCAGCAGTGCCGGGAAAGGTTTAAATTTAAAGCTACCAAAAAGAATACCTTTCACGGTTATTTAGGGTTTTTAACCTGCATGAAAACACCTATTCATTTTAAGTTCAATAAGCTCCTGCCTCCCCCATCAGTCTGCATTTTGGGCCTTCGCTACTCAGCATGCTCTTCAGCAGGATTCTGAAGTTACTTTTTCTTTTTAAAAAACTAGTTCATTGTGTAGCATTTAATAAATTATTCATTAACCACTTCATTGCTGTGTTCTGCGGCAGCATCTGAGATGCAGAGGACCGTAGCAGCGGTCTCTAAATCCCAGCATTCCATTATTGGAACATTAACACTTTAATAGGGAAGTTTGTGAGTGGCACAGCATTGGAAGTGTGTTTTGCCCCTGTACCAAGTATGTAGGTAGCTTAGAAGCAGGTTACTTATTTAGGTAATATTTGTAAGTCACTGAATAGTAGACAAGCCAATTACCAAAGAGGGTGGGAGATGACTAAATTAAACTTAAAGTGAAAAACCGCGGCCTGATTCTATAAGCGTAATAGATCCAAAAATCCCACTGGCGTCAGATGAAGTTTTGGATGATCAAGAAATGCAGGATTGGACCCTAGACTGGCTTTTACTTTGCTGATTGCTTTGAAAGGACAAAATCAGAACGGACAGACGTTGTTGCTCAAATGAACACCTGACTTTGGCAACATAGTACAATTCATGGCACCAAGGTAAACTGTATGACTTTTTTGCCAATGCACGTTTCCTGTGATTAAATTATTGCCAGAGAAGAATGCAGTGAAATTCTTGTTTACTGATGCTTGCAAATGAGATCTATAATCCCCTCCCCTCTTCCTCCATCTCTTGGCAACTGATAAATAATTTGTAGTGCTCATTGTCATATGTACTAAATGTATCCCCGTTGGTTTTAATGATGAAACTGAGGCCTAAGAAATGGAACACTAACTGTAGATCACAATGAACACATTCACTCTCACACTTCTTAATACGTGAAGCTAAAAGGAAGTTATAAAAACCTCTGCAAAAAAGAGCCTTTTGTTTGCCCCGCCTATATGGCTGAAATGGCTGTGCAGGGTGTCAGGGACAGAAATGACAAGAGAATGTTTGCATGAGTTAGGGCCTGATCCAAAGCCGACTGAAGTCAGTGGGAGCTTAGTTTGTTTCACTGCATTATTCTTCTCTTTACACTTCACATGGGGAGAGTCTTGTTGAGGGCAGTTTTTAAGATCCACATTAATTATGTGCTTGTGCACCCTTTAGAAAAGCCTCTAGCGTGCATGTGCCAGAAATACCAAGGTTACTAGTTGTCTCATCAGCTGAGAAAGCTGTTGTATTTCACATGCAAACAAAGCTTTAAAAAGACAAGACCAAAAAATACTGTCTACCTGAAACATTTCTGCTCTTCGCACCTCAGACGAAAGACTTCTTTTCACAACAGATGTTACTCCAGTCCTTCCAGCACAGACTTAACTATTTATGAAACCTAGCATGTTTTAACAATACACACTCAGCATATGGTGTGAGTACTATTATGGCAACACCGCCTCTTACATCCATACACTCGCTGGAAAGAGAATACCAAGACAGTTGTGGGCCTATAGGTGTGAGGGGACAGGAATGAAAGAAGGAGACTATGAATTAAGGACAGGGAAGGAATGAAATATTGTTTAAATAAAAACGAGGTATACTGTCATATAAAGTTACAAAATGGCAGTGCTCAAGAACTTTAAGAAAATGGGTGCACTTTTTTGATGCTCTAAACAAAAACCCACTATCAAGATTCACTTTCTGAAATGATGTGAAAAAGAACAGCATCAATCATTAAACAGTTAAATGAAGGCAGTATGACAGTAGCTATTGTTCTCCTGAAGCACACTTGTATTTTCCAGAGCAGCTGCCAGATCCTATTAGATGTATAAAAAGGAGGACTTCTCGGACTGAGTCGGGATGGTATAAGCTATTGAAAACAGCAGACAAAAGCCCACTTTTACAGACTATTCAAGCCGTGTATAACATCTGTCCAGAATCAATTTTTGACCTAATGTTACTTTCATTAAGTATTAGACTTTGTTTCCAGTTCAGTTTGTTTCCCTGACTAAAATGGTACCCCAAGTGTGATTCCATGGGAAACAAGATGGAGAGAGTAGATCTTGTGCAAAAAGCATGCTATGGAACATGTTATTTTCTTGACTGTTTTGACACCTTAAATAATATTATGACAAGAAAAATACATGCCACTTATTTGGATTCTTCTGCATTCTTTGAATTGCCAAAGAAGCAAGAAAACATATTACAAAACAAACCTCTCGTGATTTATGAAGACTGATTTGCTGATGCTGAAAAGAGGATCTTTAGGAGTCATATGAAAACTGAAAATTAAAAAAAAATAAAATGCTACACAAAACTTTTCCAATGCTTGCCTAAAAGAAAAAGTACTATGAAGTTGAATTACTGCTGCTGAAGCTGTATTCCTCTTTATGACTTAGAGTTCTCACACATTTTAAAAATGAGGAAGTTGATTCAAGCATTTGACTTCAAACTGACTGAAGTTAACTACATAAAAAAAAAAAAATACTTCCACTTACCCATATGGTCGCTGAATAAAGGCTGGATGTAGCTGCTGCACACCTATAGTAAAACCTGAAAAAGTATGGGGAAAGCATTAGTATTAAATAAAAGCATTCACTACAGTGTGTAGATATTATAATGCATACATGCACAACTACAAGTGTGTGTGTGAGTGAGAGAGAACATTTTAAACTCCCTAACAGAATATATTTAAAATAATTGTACCTCTAAAAAGTACTCATGTAACATGCACACAGATCAGACTGGAATTCTGAACACAAAGAGACAAGCACTCATTTTCTACAACATGCAATAAACCCAAAGGTGGAGTGGTAGAAACAATTATACTATAGCAGTTGTAAGAAAAAGAATATAAATGCACTAGCTTCCAGGGACAATATCCTTATCCCAACTATGTGAGGCTGGGTGTATATACAGATACACACACGTAATTTTGGCATAGAAAGTTCAAGTAAGGAAACGGGGAGCAGAGAAAGCTGAATTACATAGTGCACTAAAGAGGCAAAACTGAGGGGCCAGTGTGGCTTTTCAGATCAATTACCAACACATTTCCCATTTTGCAATGAAGGCTTCTTCGAACAGAGAGAGCTGAGAACTCACCAGTTTGAATACTCCTTGGTTTTGCTCCCAGATATGCCAGGTTCACATTTGCTTTTCTGCCATCAATGATGGGGTTGGGATCTTTGCACGCTCTCTCAGCTGCAGCTCTGTCTGCCATGGTCACCTGGAGTTAAGCACAACCTGTTTTGTAGCAATGGTTCTCCACAAAACCTACACTGAGTGGGGCTTGATGAAGTTGGCTTATTTTGGGTGAGGAGTTAAATTTGCTTTCTTGAAATCTCAGTTTGCGGGGGAGGGAGAAGACTCAGAGGGACAAGAATGGGTCCTGTGCACTCGGGTGAAAACAGAAAGCACCAACAAGTTTCTCTCCTGGGGATCTGCCAGCAATTTTTTTTCCACTCTAGCACACACAAGTTGGTAGAGTAACTTAACCCCTCCCACCCAACACTCCCTAAAGCAGAGGCTGCTCAAGGAAACTTGAAGCAAAGGACACACTCATGAATCATACAGAAGATGCAGAAATTGAGGCTGTACAGAATGTGCTTCACTGAAGCGCTCTAAAGAAACAAGCCAGCAACGCGTGGGGGAAGGGGTGTTGAAATGAACTACAGAACAGCCAGCACCGGAGGTTCTTATCCCAATGCTCTCAATCAAGGGCCTTTGTCTTGGGGGTGGGGGAGTTACTCTCTGCCTCACCCCCACACCCGAGCTCTCCTGCGTTCAGCAGTCTGTCCTGGAGGAAGAAAAACAGATCTGAGCGATGAAGAAGGGGAAACAACTTTCTAGCAGAGGGTGGCTTTGCACAGAAGAGACCTCCAAACCACCCAGTCCTGTGTAACCCCCACGCTAGCTAGTGCAAGAGCAGAGCAATGAAGGGGGAGGTCTTGCCCATGGAGAGCGTGGGGGGGCATACAGAGAGATTCTCCCCTGCGTTAGAGAGAATCCAGGGGAAGAAAGGCCCGCAAGGAACCACCCTTGACAACTAGAGGAGGCTAATGGGATACAGTGGGGAGGGGAGGACGGTGTTTCCCTGGGGTAGGGGCTCTCTTCCCTGGGAGAGGGGGGATCCCAGGCTCACACGCTCTTTACCCGACACAAAAGAAGTTACTATCACAACTCCCCCAGCTTCAGAGACCGGGCTCCTCTGGGACATGCCTGAGCCAGGCTACTAGGACCAACACGAGGAAGCGACCAGGGCACCAGCCCCGGCTAACGCCCGCCTTTCACTCCGCGCCCATCACCGCGGCACCTGCCTGGACTGGGGGGGGGGGGGCGCACTTACAAAACCATATCCCCGGGATTTGCCCGTCTGCCGGTCGGTGATCACCACCGCTTCCTCGATGTCCCCGAACACCTCGAAGTACTTCCTCAGGGAGGAGTCGGTGGTGTGGTAGGGCAGCCCCCCGACGAAGATCTTGGTGAAGGTAGTGTCCTTCTGCACGGTGTGCATGGCGCTGCGGGCGCGGGGCGGCGGCCGCTGCAAAAAGCATCCAAAATGCCACGGGCGGCCGGGAGCAAACGGCTCAGGGGCTCAGAAGAGGCGTGAGACACCCTGGGCCGGGGTCGTCATCCTCCTCCTCACCACACGCAGCTGGGGGCAGAGGTAGGCGGGGCCGCCCCCACGCAGCAGCAGGCAGCGGTAGCAGCAGCTGTCGCTTTGTCCCCCATGCACCGGGAACCGCTGCCTGCGAAGAGCCCTGGCTCCAGCCCCTCTTGTGCAATGACCTCCCGCAGGGCGCCGGGGAACAGAAGCGGCCGCTGCCTGCCAGCCGCCGCGCCGGGCTTTGTACCATCCTCTCCCTCCGCCCCACAGCCGGGCTCCGGCCCCGCCTCCCCACGGGAGACAAACCCCGGAGGCGCAAAGGCCCCCGGGGCTTGTAGTTCCCACCCGCGGCGGGGAGGGTCGATTGGGGGCGGGGCGGGGAGCAGGGGCTGCCATGAAGCGGCCGCCGCTGAAATAACAACGCGAGGCAGGAGCGAAAGGGAACTGAGCGGGCTGCAAACCGCGCCGCGGCTGACATTAACCAAGGCCACCGAGCGTGTCAGCTGGAGAGAGGGACACATCTGTCTCCAGCCCGGTGGCCAGATAGCAAGTGTGAAAAATCGGGACAAGGGATGGGGGTAATGCCCAGATCAGACAAAGCCCCAAATATAGGGGGTGTCCCGATAAAATCGGGACATCTGGTCACCTCGCAGCTACTCCATTTTAGACACGCGTTCGGATGATGCATCATTTTGTCTCAACGTGTTTTGCCAAAGCGAGCTACTAATTGATTGCCTAGAGCTGTAACTGTAGCTAGAAAGAGACGGGGAGAAACTGGGAAATACTTATTTTTCCACGTCTTTGGATTTCGGCTAAATTTGCTTGTTTAGCTGAGAGTGTGTGTGTGTGTGTGTGTGTGTGTGTGTGATGAGAGAGAGACTTTGTGTGTGTGTGTGTGACACATCCAAAAAAGCAAATAGAAAAGGGTAACCCTGTAATGGTTATTGTTAGTATTTATATTATGGTGGTACCCAAATGCCCCATTTGGGCTTGAGGCCCCACTGTGCTAGGTGCTGTACAAATACAGAAAGGAAACAATCCCTGCTTCGAAGGGTTTACAGTCTAACCAGACAACGGATAGGGGATGGGATACAACATAAAAGAAAATAAACCCTTTCTGGCTTGCCAATTGCTAAATCTAGCTTCTTTCCTGGTTAATGCCATGCACTGGCTCAAAATCTCACAATATCTCTGTAGCTAGGGCTGTCTCCACTCCTCCAGCTAGAACTGCCTATGTAAGTGCAAGGGGAATATATATTTTCATGCACTGAAAAGGCCAAATAAATGGGCAGTGCTCTGCATCTCTTAATTTTTCTAATCTACTTCTAGATTGAGGTTTCCCCGGGAATCTAATGCACACATGGTTAGGGGCCTAGTACTCTTTGTATGTACCTTGGTACTTGAGTCTGGAGGCGCCTCCTGGAAGAGTCTTTAAAATTCCCACGAAAATCTCCCAAACGCCTGCTTCTTTTTGATGTAGACTACAAGTCCCAGCAGCCTCAGCGGGAGCCTTCTGCTGGGTGAAAGCTGCATGCAAATCAGCAGCAGGAGAGAGGCAAGCTGAATAGGGTGGAGTGAGAGGGCGAGGGGAGCAGGCAGCACTGAATTTGAGTAGGAAACATATGTTTGCAAAGCAAATGTTTGTGCCCAGGAGCCCGCCAGTAAAAGCCGCTTAAAACGAGGTGGTTTTTTTTTTAAACTTTGCAGCAATCATGACTGCAAATGTTTAATCACTGGCACATTTTCAGGCACTCCGATAAATTAATCAAAGGGCTTGCGTGCCTTGCCTGGCTGGCTCACTTTGTGCTTTGGGGCTGCACTAGACCACAAAGGGGTGCTAGAAGGAGAAGGCTGGGACAACTTGTTCTCTTTTATCACCTAGTACAAGGGGCAGGCCTAAGGTTTTAGCTCAAGCGCTGGAAAAAACAAATATAAAGATGAGGAGCTGAGTGCCTTTATCAACCCCATTTCTAAACTGGCCCTTCTACATTGCACCTGTACAATTGGTGCATGTATGAACAGATGTTTGCATGTGCAAAGCAGGCATTTGAGGATGCAAACACAGAGCGTGCACATTAGGCACATGCACGTGTTTTTTGGGTACAGTTTAGGCACCCTGTATCTGAGTCTGAATGCTTCCTGTACCATCAGCTGTCACCTAGGGCACAAATGAGGCTCCACCATCCCTGTCTATCCTGGGTGGTTCTTTGCCTGTCTCCTATGTTCTTAAATCCCATAGGTTTTCCCGCTCTGAGTACTGTATGACAAAGGGATTCTTTTGGTTGGCCCATTTTTTGTGTGCCCTATAACTAAGGACAATTTGGGCAACACCACAAAGGAGACTGTGAGAGCCCACTCCTCTGGTGAGATTCAAGGCCTATCCAGAGATGGATTAGATGGTGAGGAAATCTGTTCTGCCTCCCTACTCAGGGATGCACTAAATGAGCCACTAGCAGTTCCTCCTCAGCTCACACACTTCTGGTTATGCCCTCAATCTTTTGTTTTTCAGATAAGCGATTTGACGTGTCTCTTTTAATGTATTGCTATTTTGTAAGGAGCACCTTCAATGTACATGAACGCAGAGGAATACATGGGTGCTACACTGCCCCAAGGACTGTGGTTACACTGCCATTTTTCTTAAAATCTCCCACAGCTGTAATTCCCCCTGTGCAGCACTGCAGATGACACAGCAGTTAAAACACTGGCAGCTGATCTACACTAGCACTTCCACCTCTGCTACCACAAATGGAGCTGCAAAGGTGGGAGATTTTAAAAGAAAAGCCAGAGCAGACAAGGTCAGGTGTGTAGAGTCTGAATTAGACAAACAGTACACAGTCTACATTAGGGCTCTTTCTCAAAGCGGGACAGACAGACAATGTTCTTTCGTTGGTGAGTTATTGTTAAAAGGCTTTGTCGGAAAAGTGTGTTTTAAGCGGGGGTTGACTTGAAGGGAAAATGATACTAGTCCTACTCTTCCATGTTCCGCCCACAAAATAAACTCCACCCACATAAGTTGCCAAAATGAGAGTGTTCACGGTAGATTGTGCAGATGTTTAAAATATGATAATATGAGTTCTCTGAGCTCCATTGGACTCCTTGAGATTGACTCTCCTTGGGTGAGACATTGGATATGCCCCTGGGCTTTGCTAGGCTCCTTTAGCTTGCTCCTTCATGATGGCAGAAAAGTAAGTGATGGCAGCTTCCAAACACAAGCCACTTGTGGCACCAAAAGGAGACAGGACTCAGTGAATTATACGCTGCTGTGAATCTCCCTCTGCTTTCTTACATCAGCAGTGAAATAGTTAACAGTATTTACATTATCATCACTAGGCATCAGAGTTGACACTTCACATAGATCAGTGGCTCAAACTTTTTTTACTGGTGACCCCTTTCACATAGCAACCCCCCCTATAAATTAAAAACACTTTTAAATATATTTAACACCATTATAAATGCTGGAGCAAAACGGGATTTGGGATGGAGGTTGACACCCTCCCTGTAATAACCTCGTGACCTCCTGAGGGGTCCCGACCCCCAATTTGAGAACCCCTGACATAGATGAATGGGGCAGTTCAAACCTCTCAGAGATAATGTTCCAGGCTCTCTGCAGACTCCCATAGGGTATGTCTACCCAGCAAATAAGATGTGTAATTCCCCATACACCAGCTAATTCTGCTCAGGCTAGCAGCTAAAAATAGCAGTGTGGCCTGACAGCTCTGCCTAGCTGCCCTGCCCAACCCCACAGGTATGTCCTTGGGTGGCATATATGTCTGCCTATGTGGGACTTTACACCTCCCCGCTGCTGTGTAGACATACCCATAGCCATCTCTGCATCTCTTAGACCCGGTTCACAGTTCTGAAGTTATCATCACAACCATGACAAACCAGAGACTTTGTTATTGTTGTTGTTGCTGCTCTTTTGAAATGAAAACTGACTGTGTGGAAAACAAGACCAGAATTTCAGCGAGCTGTCAGTATGCCATACTATTGCATACCAGCTGAACCCCAGCCCTGCTTTTAACAAAGAATTGAAAGAACAGAAAGTGGGCATTAAACATAGCTATTGTTGCAAATCTGTAATACTGTTTCATCAATTAGATTCTTTTCCAAAATGTTACTTTCCTCCAGTGCACATAGAAGAGTAACTGGTCTCATTCTACATAGTACTTAAAAGTTAATTTGACAAGAAAAATCTATATCTGATTTTTTCCTATTATCATGGTGAAACATAAGAAAGTTGAAGAACTGGCAACACAGGACAAGTCATGTGGCCATTTTACTTTGATTTAGTGTTTTATACCCACATCTTCCCAAACATGTTCTTGACTCTGGTATGATAGTTCTTCAGCCATCCTCTTTTAGGAATCTGTCCTGCTGCTTACTTGATCATATTGCTTGTGGAAGTAAATGAAGCAAACAGAATTTACCTTTTGTGTGTATGGCTGGGAAGGAGAGGGTTCTGTACCAGGGCCCATTACAAGAGGTAGAAGTCTGTCCACAATAAAAAAAAACCTTCTTGGTCTGTCTTGCCTTTGTAGGATGAACACTTGGGAAAAACAGATTTGGACTAGAGTTTTCTAAAGATATTTTTCTTTTATAAAAGCCCCCAAACAAAAAGCCAGTTGTTTTAAGGCAATTTTTTTTTTGAAATCTGAACTCCACAGTTGTCCATTTATATGTTTGGTTGCATTGATTCTATTGCTCCACACATTATAGACTTCGTGAATGATTAAGGAGGAAGCAGTCCACCTTCCTGTTTCTCAAAGTGTCATATTCCTCTTCAAGGCCACATTGACTACAGTGAGGCAGGATCAGGCCCCATCTTAATAGTGCTGGCTGAGTATCTCCCAGCATAACTGCATGAATGAGAAGCTCATGCCACTTTGCAATAAAGAGAGTCAATGTTTGAAAAATTGCATGCCTGATGTAATCTTGTGCTTTGTTTTGTGACATACATGTGTTGGTGGAGTCACAAGCCATTGCCTACCTTCCGCAATGTATAGTGCAGACAGCCTGTGGTTGGTCACACATTTTCCCTGCCATATGACCAATTCTTAGTATTCCTAGGCCTAGAGTCTTCATGATCATTGATTCATACCACTGACACCTACCTTATTTCTGCCATTAGAGATGTGTGGGCTCCTTCTTGGATTACTAACGGCTAATTACAAAACTCATTGATTTCACTTACCCTCTTTCCCTAGTTCTTCATACTGCTCCAATTGATGGCAATAGCAAATCTCCACTTCATCTAAGTG